ACAGTGGCGACCAGACGACCGGTCAGACAGTGGTGACCAGACCAACCGGTCCGTAGAGTGGCGGTAAAGACCCGTGTTATGTGCGTGTTGGTTAGGATACTTCAAGCTGATTCTATAAAACGTACTAGTTGACCTCACGTGGCTGTTTGGTTCGAAGGGCAATGTCGATTAAAATTAAGTCCCAAGAAGTCCATATCACCAGCACATAATCTGTCACCATCCTGGCAGTGTGAAGAAGAGATTATGGGATGTGTGACAAAGGGTTTGGTTTTAAATGTTCACCCTCATTCAGCAGCTTTTGACAATCCTGAATGGAATATTGCTTAATATTCCTCGAATAGTAGCCGTTTAATTTTGGATTCCGTCTCTCTCCCTCGCAGCCAAGATAAGTATATATATATATTGTGTGTGTGTGGCGGGGGTTGGGATGAATCAACTGTTTCTCTCACATAATTTGTGGTTCGAAGAAGTTGTCAAATGGTCGATACATTTTGCAGACACGAGTGTTGCGTGGGTTGTCTGAATTTTATCTTTAGGCCATCTTTGGGGCTACCTTCGGGACTGCCACCTTCGGGGCTACCTTCGGGACTCCCACCTTCGGGGCTACCTTCGGGACTCCCACCTTCGGGGCTACCTTCGGGACTCCCACCTTCGGGGCTACCTCCTTCGGGGCTACCTTCGGGGCTACCTTCGGGCCTCCCCCCTTCGGGGCTACCTCCTTCGGGGCTACCTTCGGGGCTCCCATTTCGGGGTTTTCTTCAGGGCTTTGGTCCCGCCATCAAACCATGGAGCGTGTGTTTGTGTGTGTGTGTGTGTGTGTAGCCGAAGACGATTATTCTCCCCCTTTAAGATGAGCCACTATCCTTTCAACGTCGCTAGACTTGTTTTAGCATTTAGCATTTCATGGTCACAAGAAATATACCAAGCGTGTCAGCGGTAATGAGCTGTTCCCACTTTAACATGAGCCACTATCCTCTCAACGTCGCTAGACTTGTTTTAGCATTTCATGCTCAGACTCAACATACCAGGGCTTTTAANACCTTCGGGACTCCCACCTTCGGGGCTACCTTCGGGACTCCCACCTTCGGGGCTACCTTCGGGACTCCCACCTTCGGGGCTACCTCCTTCGGGGCTACCTTCGGGGCTACCTTCGGGACTCCCACCTTCGGGGCTACCTCCTTCGGGGCTACCTTCGGGGCTCCCATTTCGGGGTTTTCTTCAGGGCTTTGGTCCCGCCATCAAACCATGGAGCGTGTGTTTGTGTGTGTGTGTGTGTGTGTAGCCGAAGACGATTATTCTCCCCCTTTAAGATGAGCCACTATCCTTTCAACGTCGCTAGACTTGTTTTAGCATTTAGCATTTCATGGTCACAAGAAATATACCAAGCGTGTCAGCGGTAATGAGCTGTTCCCCTTTAACATGAGCCACTATCCTCTCAACGTCGCTAGACTTGTTTTAAGCATTTAGCCTTTCATGGTCACAAGAAATATACCAAGCGTGTCAGCGGTAATGAGCTGTTCCCACTTTAAGATGAGCCACTATCCTCTCAACGTCGCTAGACTTGTTTTAGCATTTAGCATTTCATGGTCACAAGAAATATACCAAGCGTGTCAGCGGTAATGAGCTGTTCCCACTTTAACATGAGCCACTATCCTCTCAACGTCGCTAGACTTGTTTTAGCATTTCATGCTCAGACTCAACATACCAGGGCTTTTAAGGGTTATGAGCTGTTCATGTTTTGTTTAAAAATTCCTCTCCAACATGGACTTCGCCCCTCCCCCCCCCAACCTACCCACCTCGTCCCGGCCATCAACAGGCATGTTGTGTGCTGTATCACGTAGCCGCCTGAGTTACTCGACGCAGCACTTAAAAAAAAATAATATCTCCAGCTCATGCTTCATAGTGTCTGTGAATTGTGTCTTATGAGCAGTTCTAGAGTCGTGGCTTGTGTTGTGCAGGGTTGTACTGTTGTTGTTTTTTTACAGTGTTGTACAGTGTTGTACTGTGCTGTACGTTATAGTACTGTGCTGTACTTGTTGAACTGTGTTTTACTGTGTTGAACTGTGTTATACAGTGTTGCTATGTGTTGTGCTGTGTTGTGTTTCGGTTCGCACGTTTTTGTTTTTGGATTCGTTGCTTTGACTATCGACATTTAGTCGGTGTCCTTAGGTCGGCGTTGGTTATCATTGTGTAGCGCTTGATACAGAATCATTACATCTATACGTATAACAATAATAAATCAATAATCAATACATCTACACATCTAACATCTATAATCAATACCTCCAACCATCTAACATCTATAATCAATACATCTACATATCTAAGATCAACATTCGATACTTCTACATCGATAATCAATATCTACACATCTAAGATTAATAATCAATACATCTACGCGTCTAACATCGATAATCAATACTTCTACATATCTAACACAAAAATATCAAGACATATGGCATCAATAAATCAATACAACTATATAACTTACATCAATAATCAATATACCATAACAATGAACATTGATAAATGTATACATCAATATATCAACTCAACAATACATCTAGGCATTATGTTATATGTCTTCATAACTTTCGACATGAAGTGTTGGTGGGGATCGATTTGTTTATCATAGCCAGCTTCACTATTCTTATTGCTTTACCAGCCACATCTTTGTATGCAGTTTGAAAGCTATTGACAGCTGATAACAGCTAGTCACACAGTGGCAACTGATTAATGACTAGTGGCAACTGATGATAGCAAGTGACAACTGAAAATATCTAGTGACCACTGATGACTGCTAGCGACAACTGATGACAGTTGAATCCAGATCATTATCTCTGAGCCTGTATTATTTAATGAACTCCTTCACTTCAACACAGATCAAGCTGCGGGCACCAGAATGTCGGACAATGTGCAGGGAGACATCGCATTAAGACACCTCTTTCAAGGTCAGAAGATGTAACTTTATACTTCCCCCCCCCCGGCATTAAAACCAAATGTTCCCAAACCACACTACACCCCCCCTCCCCCCCAAAC